GCAACAACTCTAACTTATATTTAAATAATGTTCTACATTTTGGGGAAGAGAGAGAGAGAACTGGTGTTGTTTTCCGATTCCCCCCCCTCCCTTCAACATCAGTGATTCTACGGCTTTTAAATGTGAAGTGGACTGTTTATCTGAAAGTGTGCTGGCAGACTGCCACCATATTTCTAAGATTAAAGAAAGGATTGAAAACAATCAGCTTTCCGAGGAACTGAAACCACGACAATATGTTTCTGATTAATTTACAAATATATGTATATATTTAAGGCTAAACTGCAGAACCAGAAAATTCCTACTAGTTAGTCTATCACAGGCATTCTTACACTTTATTAGAACAGACATCATATTGAAATAATAAGCATGGGAGGCCTTCGTTTCTTCTTTGATCTATATTACTAAATGTCTGACTGGCTCAGATTTAAAATAAACTATGGTATGTTTGCACTTGAAAACTGGAAAAAGACCACAAGTAATAATTTGTTGTCAGTTTCCATATTCTCTAACTAAAAACTATAGTTTAGTCTGTACACTGCTGGATGTCAGGCGATGTTAGTCCAGTCACCCCTGCGGTGGCTAAACTTTCTTGTAGGAATACATGCTCTAGCATGGGAGCAATGATGATAGATCACTTCATCAGCGTGGAACTAGCTGAGACGAATTAAAGGTACAGGTTGCAGATTTACCGGCTTTCCCAATCTCTTGCAGGCTAATGTCATTACAGCCTTAAATGCACAGGTATGTACTAGAGAAGGGTAACCACAGAGCTCCTTTTTCTCTGAACATCTAAGGATCATGATTTTGTGACCAAAACCCTGCCAAATGCATCGCAAATGTGAAGGCAAGATTTTCAGCTGTTTAATGATGGCTCTTCGGTGTTGTCCTGTGTGATTTTAAAGTATTTTTTCTGTATAAATGTTGTCGATTTGCTTCCAATAAATGAAATTATAATAAACAGTGGTGTTTAAGTGCCAGCTATGCCCAGCACAGTTGGATTTGGTTTTAGGCTTGGGAGTTTATGTATATATAGGTAATAATTTTACTCAGACTGAGGTACAGATTATAACATTTCATATAAGATTAGTTTATTTTCTTATTTAGAAAGCTGAATTCAGAGGAAGGAACACAGAAGGGAGTTTCTGATCAGGAGGTGAAAGAATCTAAATTATTCACCCTTAAAAAGCATAATGAGTACAAAATGTTATGGATTGTTACAAACAGCAGGATTAAAGAATACACTGACATCCTTTAACTTTTCTCAGCCTATTAAAAGCATTCCTTAATTGTCTGTTTAAACATGAATCTCAGCAACAAATGAGTTAATGCTCATAAAAAAGGAAAGAGCTTTGAAAATCTCACCATCTCTAAAAATTCCCATTCTACTGAGCATATCTCATCACTTTATTGCCAAGGTAACCATGGGTGTCTCATGAACTCTTGAGTGCTACTGGATGGTCAGATACCATTGCCACAAAACACCTAGTTCTCTATCTACAGATGATGAGGCCATGCTTCAGACACAGGACTGAGCTCCAAAATGGATGCACTTCTGATTCTATGTGATGACTGCAACTCGTTTAGGAAGGAGAGAAACCACTTACATTCCAGAAGTCTCAAAATTCAACAGCAACAGAAAGTGCTATGAGCATATTTCCCTGACAGACTATGCGTTGGTAGGTGGCTCCATCTAAATCGTGGTCCCAGCTACCGAAGATATGACCATCTTATCACATCACAACCTTGTTGATCTCTTAACTATATAATGCCACCCTAAATGGTGAAGGAGAAGAGGGATCTTCACATACAGAACCACGGAGCCAAGATTGCTAAGCATGCTTTTAGAAAAGATTAAGGGTATCTCCTGAACCAAAAGCTTTTCAAACTTTCATTAAAGCTTACTTGTTCGATCTAGCTCTCATAGAATAAGTATCCTTCTCTGTTACGCACATACATCCTGCCAGACACACTGCAATGGTTCTCAAGCACTGATGCTAACATTTTGAGTGGAAAGACTGTTATGTCTCTGTTAATTCCTAGAGAAGACCACCCGTATTAAAAATGGTGAGCACCAAGTAAAGCACCTGGACAGACAGACAGAGCTGGAGAATCAGAGTTACCATGGATGATCTAACACCAAACACACCTGTGCTCAGTAGCCCTGGGGCTTCCCTATCAATAAAGGATTGCCATACTTACTACTGGGTAGTGTAGAGCTGATCTGAGCCATAATCTGCTAGTTGAGCTGAAGCAAGGAGAAATTAAAAAGCAAAGCTAGACTAGATATGGCCCAAGGGCCTAAACCATATTCCTGACTCTTGCTGGTCTGGTGCACAAAGGACCAGGAGGACCCACTTTTCTGTGTTTTGCCACTTGAAAGACATCAGGTAACACATTCAAAGAGACAAGCTGATGTGCTAAGGAAGTTCAATATACATGAGAGGGTTGCTGATGACATATGGCTGCTTTTAGACACAACAAAAAAGAAAGATGACCAGCT